AGGCAGTTGACCTCTGCATTATGAAGGGCCTCCATAACTGTACCACAGTACAATATAGGTAATGGCATATGTTTCATGTTTACATTGTGCACTCCCCACCAGGTACAATATTCTGATTTTTTGCATCTTATTTTTAAGCCCATAAATAATAATGTACATGTTCTAATACATTTAGATTGTAATGTACTTGTTAGAACTAGGGCTGGGTATCGATTCAGATATCCCGATTTGATTCGATTCTCGATTTTTTTTTTTTATTACTTTCAGTGAATATAGTTTTAATACAAATGCGATTGATATTTCAAAAAAAATTTACAGCAAACATCAGTTCACAAATAGTGAATTAATAAAAATAAATTAAGAACCACATGCCTGTATTTTAAACCTATTCTTTTTTTTTCGTATAGGGTCCTTTTTAAACAATAGTTGGGCCCTATAAAATGTTCTTAATTTTTCTGGTAATCAGATGAAGGCATAAAACATTAATTTAATTTATAATCAAATGAAAATTAAACCCTTTTTTTTGGCAAACAAAGTGCTGCACAACAGCGGTTTACTGTTAAAATTAAAGAGAAAACAAATGTGATTATTCCTTTAAAAATAAAGATTTATTAATATTTATTAGCAGTAGCAGCATTGAGTCTTAAGACTGCTAAATAGTAATATATTCTGACAGTAGAACGTTAAACTAAACTTTTATTTTGACGGGTTGCCGTGAAGAACTTCCAGCTGCTGTGGTATGTGATATAATGGTAGATTTCTCAAATGAAACGGTAAAATGCTAATCAAGTGACTCTCAGAGCAGCTGGAGATGACATTCGTGTTCATATCATCATATAGTGAGACGGCAGAAGCTGAAAACACCGCGAGCGTCATCCGCGCTTTAGTATGCGTGTAGTAAACAAAAAAGAGCGCCGCGCCATCCGTCATTCATTCATTGCGGAAATCATGGCGCCTTATGCGTGATATCAAATGCTTCCGCAGATTTATAGTATTACTATAGCATTTCCCCTGAGCATTGCGAATCGCGCGTATGGCCATGATAAGCGCTGAATGAATGACAGGATTTCTGTTGTAACATCGCGCAAGGTAAATAAGGGTGACATCTAGTGGAGAAGACTAATGATAAGATTCACGTTAATCAGATCTTGTTTTAAATGTGCTGAAACAAATCCCGGAAAAAATCACTTCGCGGCTTTTGAGAATCGATGTCATTTAAAAAAAAAACGATTCATCGAAAAATTTATTTTTTTGCCCAGCCCTCGTTAGAACGAGCCGTTTTAGGTAGGCGTGGCTGACTCTTAACTTTTATAAAGAATATCTCTTTGGATTTGAGACTTTAGTCTTTGCAACTTTACAGATCTTCTTTATGCACCAAGAGCTTGTAACACCCCAAAGAGAAAGGAAAAATTGAAATCGCCTCATATGACCCCTTTAAACTGTTTTAACTTTGCATGGCTTTCTATACATCTTGTGTGACACGAGTGCAGCAGTCATATTTGTCTGTCTAAAAAATGCGCTGAATATGCGTTCTCTGTGTGAATGGTTTCGGTTTGAACCTAATCAAGATCTTCTCCGCATTGAGCTTCTATATTTCTCTAATATTTTGAATGAATAACTCCGCAGCGGCGCGTCTCGTGGACTAGACTAACAGAACATTCAAATGCAACACGTCACTTACACCATCATCACCTCGTCTCGCGCGCCACTGATGACGCTCCCCCGATGCACTCCTAACATTCAAATGCAAATGTTTATTTTAAATTCGACTAATATAATTTTTTTTATTCACAATCTCCTCATCACAGGCAGGCACAGCACTCATTTCAGCATGTGTCCGTGTGTACTGTCTGTGTCACTAATTGCACGTGGCTATATCGTTGCGCTATATCGAACACTTTTTCTACCGTTATCGAAGAAGGTGTACCGTCGATAAATATCGATACCGTTTTATCGCCCAGGCCTAATCTATAGTGTTGATTTCTACCTGTGTACTCCACTTCCACATCAGCGAGGGCCTTCAGGGTGTTCTCATAGCCGACACTGGACACGTCCAGCGCACAGACCATGTCATACACCTTTTTGGTCTTGGCAATAAGCTCTCCAGTAAGCTGCCGGATCCGGTCGGGAGTGAGATCCCAGAGCAAGCGGTTGTCATCACAGACCCGGTCCCCAGAGCCAAACACCACTTCACCTGAACATTCAAAAACAACTGCTTACACTGAATATTATAACAGTATGAACTTAAATGTGATTTACATATAGTTTCTATGCATATCATTTGTTATTCCCAAAACAACATATCCATCAACCAATCATGCTTTTAGGCTTATGATTGTTCTACCACCTGGCGATATATAAAAGTGTGTCGACTCCTGTGTGAAAGTCGACGGCCTTTTCTTTTTATTATTAACTTAAAATCAATTATTTCATTCGTTTGAAACAAGAATTCCAACTTAAAATATTTTAATAAAATATAATAATTTTGCAGTTGTAATAAGATATTTTCTCTATATACACACACATGCATATTAAATGCACATAACTTCTGTAAGCTACAAGTAAGTTAGGTTAAATAAGATTTATTGCCAACTGAACATGGATATCTGCTCGACTCGGTCATTATGAGTGAGATTGTTGAGGGCGTGTGATGAGTTTGCTAATTAATCCTAGAGCTTAAAGGTTAACCAGCTAACCATGCTCCACGGAAACATATCGCATTTAATTGGGCTGACCCTAAACCATTATAAAGACAGAAGCCGCGTCAGAACACATAAGAAATGTCTTTTGCGAACAGAGTAAACTTGCACTCTTGCACTGTAAACTTAGGCCCTGTCAGTGCGGGACAAAAGCCGCGGTCTGGTGTGTTTTCGGGGTCGGAACCGGAGCTTTTAGCGGCACCAGCTGAGCCACGGATTACGAGCTCACTGCGCTAACGAGCCACAACACAACAGCGCCACTACTTTGGCTTAGTTTAAAAGGCAGACAGTTATGTTACGGTTCTTATATTCGGGTGGTACAACGCATGCTTTTGAAGTTTAGCGTCGCACGTATTTCTTACCTGTAGGTGCCATTTTCCTCTCGGTCAGTCAGAAACACCGCGGGTGTAACGATTCAAAGCGCCTGTAACAGCCGCTCACTCACGCTTCCTGCTCCGGTCACATGGTCCTCAGTGGAGCCCGCGATTGGTTGAGGACTTCTGCGGCTATTGTGTGTGAAGCTTTGAATGATGTCCAGAAACGCTGTAAGCGACCATGATTATTTGACTCTGGGGGTCTGATGCCATCTGCTGGCGAGGTGAGAAGGTTTTGTTTTCGATTCATATTTTAATATGAAAACTCTTATCAGATGTCAGGTCAAAAAAAACCTATGACAAATTATGCCAATATTGTGTACCGCTTTAAATCAGTTTCTTAAGAATTGGAACACATGCACTTTTGAACTTGTTCAAAGTGATTTAATTCACAATCTATTTAACCCTTACATTAGTAATCACTTTTTCTATTTAATCATTTTATTCCGTTTCCACAACATTTACAAATGGGTGTGAAACAATTCTGTTGTGGTATTGAGCAAAAATACTCTCTTGTGGAAGTGATGTCCACCTTGATGGTAGGTTGACTTTATTAACCTTTATTTTTTAGATTTGTGTGGATTTATCCATGAATTTAAGTCAGTTAGTGAACAAAATTGTTTAATAGAAGGCAATTTTTTTTTCTCCATATCACTGAAGACCCAAAATTTGGAAGAATTTGAAACGACTGATTTTGGCTGAAAAAATTTATTAATTTTAATTTTTTTTTTTTTGGAAAATGTATTGGTTTCCCCCCCAATTCAACTGGATTTAAAAAGCAGCAGTGTTCTGTGGCAGTCGGGTCAACCAGTGGTGGACGACGAGTCTCAAGTTATTTGGATGGACCCTTCAGTGACGTATGAACTCAAACGGCTAGAGGCAGGTTCTCATCACACTGCCTTTCGTTCATTCACCTGTTCATGACACGCTGCACATCATCAGATGCATGGGGCTTGAATGATGGAAAACATTACGAAAAATAAAGACATGGATGTTGGCAAAGAGGGGGCAAGCTATTTACAGAGTCTCTATATGGCATGTCTGTCATTAAAAGCACCACTGAAAGAGAAACTTGCATTGGTTTAAGATAAAATTCCCTCCTTTCTCAAGCAGAGCCGGGCCGCTCTGTCATATCACAGGTTGGGTTGATGATTTTGTTGTAACTACTCTTTCTTGGGCTTCCTCTTGCGGGTTCCTTCACTCAGTTCCTCCTTGGTTTTGGTGGGCGAGAGGGGTGCGGCGTGGTGGTGATCATGGGCATCTTCAATACCAAGGGGTGAACCGAATAGCAGGTGGCACAGCCAAGACTCGATGAGGGCGACGGGTGATCCGTGAGAGTGACGGGCCGTCATAAACGCCTGTATGAAGAATAGTAAATATTCTTGAGAAATGAAGTTGGAAATGTCTCGGCTATTACCGTTTCTGAATGGTTTAGATTTGATTGCTTGTGCAAAAAGTCAAAATGGGCATTGTTATTGGCCACTGCTATTGGGCTGCTAAAGTCAAAAGTATACTGCAGTTTATGGTCTGAGTGCCGCAGATTTCATTTTCAGCCCAGTACGCACATACTGTTAGCGTGCAGTGTGATTTAAAATGTTTTTTAATCGCCTGTACGCTGAGTTCGCACATGCACCTTGAGGTGTATTTTTTTTTTGCACTAGTAAGTTTGCCCACAAGGTGGCAACACATCCAAGGCTTACTGTTTTACAGTCATGCAATAAACCAATGATACTGAATAACAACAAATTACTGAAAACGACAAAAACAATCCCGGAAGACTATAGTTTCCTTGAGATTTTACCATGGTTTTTACACTCTAAAAAATGCTGGATTAAATACAACCCAGTGCTGGGTGAAATCTGGACAAACCCAGCGATTGGGTTGTTTTGACCCAGCATTTGGGTTACTACCCAGACCGTTGGGTTAAACATTTAACCCAACTGTTGGTTGAAAACAACCCAATCACTGGGTTTGTCCATATTTTACCCAACAATTTTTAGAGTGTATAATGGGCATTTCAATTTATATTGAAAAATGTTCAATGTTTATCTTCAATTTTTGGGATGCAATATATGGAGTATTTGGACCTCTGACCACTATGACATTGCATTCTAAATACACAGACAATTATGAACAGTAGTTGACTTAAATAAAACAACCGAACATGTTGAGTAAAAACATTTAACCCAACCAGCTAGGTCAAATAAGCCAGCATGTGTCCTGTCCAATATTTACCCAGCACTGTGTTGCCAAATAACCCAAACTGGGTTGATTTTAACCCAGCATTTTTTTAGAGTGTGTATTTACAGATGCTTGTAAATGCAGACTGCATGCTAGGTGCTTCATTTTATACACCTGTGGCATTGCATCCTATACTGAAACACCTAAATTCAGTAATTTAAGAGGTGTGTCCCAATACTTCTGTCCATATAGAGTCATTCTTTGAGATAAAACTACTGACCATGTATCTTGGCAAACTTTCCCTCTGAAAGAGAGCTAATTTTGCAAAGCAGGGCTTACTTTATGTTAAGTATCATGGAAATTTGCTGAACATTTGCCTTGACAATTTATGGGCATTCAGTCAATGAACGAATTCAGACTGGTGAAAAGTCATCATAATTGTTGTGGACAGTTGATGAGGGATCTTAATGCTTCATGGTGTCTTTGATTTTTACACTTTGATTCCTTTTTAGACGAAAATACTGAGTTACATTTGTGTTTTCTGATATTTACACTCTCCCTTATATTTCAGCTTCTTAAGCAAGCGTATTATTACCTTGGTTGAGGCCATGAAGAGTGTGAAGAGGCAGATGAGCATGCTTTTAGACACAGGGAGCAAGTGAGCCTCCTGAAGGGTGAACAGAATGGCTCCATACAGACTGGCCTTGGTAGGGCTGAAAAATACAAGAATCACATTCTAAACATTTATAAAAGTCATTAGTCTAAAACATGAACAGCTTCAGAAGACTTTGAATGAAACATGAGTCATATGGACTACTTAATGCTATTTTAAGATGGTTTTTGTTCTTTTTGGAATTTAAACTGACGATTTTTCAAACTTGATTTATTTTTTCAAAGTCAGTTACAAAAAGGTAAATTGGCCCAGTTTGAATCAGAAAAGTAAGACCGATTACCTCTTGGCTAACTGCTAGTTGGTCAAACTAGTTCTTAAGACAATCTGAACATAGCTATGTTTATGCAGCTGTCCCAATGGTCTCTACAAAATGTCAGTGGACAAGTCATGGCTCTCCAAAATTCTGCTTCTGTGTAAAGGTTTTCCACTCACAATGACATGTTGAGAACTTCATTGGTCTCTGGCTTCCAGACTCCTCGCAACAGCTGCTCGAAATTGGACATGAGAGCGACCCCTGACCCTGTGAGTTTTAACAGAGACAATCAGCAGAGCGGTGCAGGTCTCCCGAGCAAGAGTTTTAAAGGGTCTTATGAAAGCGTTACATGACCCCTAAAATAAATCCCTCTGGAGATATAAGATACTTACCCTTAACATAACCAGTGATGACCATGATGAGCCAGCCGTGGTGATACGCATGGTGAGCGTGATGAACTCCAGCAGCGATTTTACGTGTGCGGACCACTTCTTTCATTGCAACTAGCACAAGTTTCACAGGCAGAAATGCCACACATTTGTAAAACAGGTTAAGAGGGCAGAAGAAAATCAGGTACCTGAAAAAAGAGAAGAAAAAACACATTCTGATAAAAAAGATACAATAATAGATACTCACACAAGTTTGTCTGGAAGAAGAGGATTTAATAAAGGTATTAGTAAACTATGAGCTGCCATTTGTCTGTAGAACTGCTTTGTTACTTGTATGTGTAAGCAATTAAGACATGTGGTAAATGTAGAAATATCGGACGTATTCAGATCAAGATATGAACAAAGTTGTTATTTAGGGATGTAACAAAGAGTTAAGTTGTTTATGGTTGCCTAGCAACTTACCACATTAATATAGAATACCAACTGATGTGCCGTCACGTGTGTATAATAATAATAATTTATGCATTTAACAGACGCTTTTATCCAAAGCGACTTTCAGTGCATTCAGGCTATACATTTTTTTTTTACCAGTATGTGTGTTCCCTGGGAATCGAACCCACAACCTTTTTGCACTGCTAATGCAATGCTCTACCACTGACCCACAGGAACACTCATATATTGACTATATATAAGGACTCAAAGACTCAAAACTGTTTGTTTTATAATATTATATTTACTCTCAGTAATATTAGTTCTACAATTAGCACTTTTAAGATGAAGAGTTCATAATCGGATTATCAAAAACAGACATGGTTAGGGGTCATTTGATGCTTTTTTTAAAGATCATTATTTGGTGTAACAGAATATGTTGACATGCTTCTCACGCGGAGGAGCTACTGCCGCTTACTGGATGAAACGCGCTCATAGTCGAGCATCAATCGAGCTTGTTCGATCGCGAATACCAGATGTAATCGTTTTATTGTCATTGCATAAATAGTCGCGACATTATTTTATAGCCTGCTGAAAAACCTCATCTTAAACCAGCCTTGAATATGATTTTGCTATTCAAAACGGGTTAATTAAACTGAAACACTTAAAGATATCACTAACAAAACAACCTATTCCTATGGACTTTTGCCATGTATTTGGGTGTGGATCGTTCATCGTAGTACCACTCTTTAAATAGGCCTATGCCGTAGAACCATACTAGCTATATGGTAGTTGATATGAATGTAACATTGCTAAGGCTATATATAAGCCTACAGTAAACCATGGCAATGCAATGTTCTTTTTGTTTGTTTGTTTGCTTTCCTGTGGTCAAATTCCCATGATACTACCAATTGATTCCATCATTGTACCATGGTATCATATAGTCACATGCAGGGCCGTCCTTTGAGCGGTGCAACTGGTGCAGTCGCACCATGCCCTGAGCTTTGAGGGTCCTGTGCAACCCCCAGTGCCACCCCCCATACCACGATCACGAACGAACCGAGAGGGCCCCGCTCCCTACCTCGCACTGGGCCCCGCGTCAGCTAAGGACACATGATGAGTCAAAGTTATACAGAGATCATCTTACTAGGAGATGAGAGGGTCTGTATTACTTACTATTGGAGAAAGAGTAACGGCTAACTTGGATCACGTGTGCCAACCAATCACATTACAGCCTTGACGTCACTGAATTTCAGTCAGAGCTGTGCGACACTCAGTCGCCGTTTACGGATACCATAGGATTGAATGAGAAGTGCCGTAAACTGAATAAAAATAGTGAAAATAGTTCAGTCCTAAAGTATTGTTTAGTGTAAGACGTTGACGATAAGCCGACAGGCTGTCGATTCATTAAATGATAAGCCGTTTCCCATAAAAAGCTGTTCATTCGGCGTAGTGAAGCCTCTCCTCCATTGACATCCATTAAAAAAAAAAAAAGAAAAAGAAAAAAACACGGCATCTGGTCTCCTTTCCTTTCTGTACTGCCAGAACGGAAGTGTTAGCATTAGCCGTTACACTTTTTCGGCTAAAGGTCGCAGGCTTGCTTTCTAGTGGCTTTGAGTTATAGGCCTAAATATGAACTTTAAAGCAGGGATCTCCAACAGCCAGGGTTCTGGGAAGTTACGTGTGGCCAAATATGGTGACCCTGACCCATACTCGGAATTTATGCTCTGCATTTAACCCATCCAAGTGCACACACACAGCAGTGAACACACACGGAGCAGTGGGCAGCCATATTGCTGCGGCGCCCCGGAGAGCAGTTGGGGGTTTGGTGTCTTGCTCAAGGGTCTCATCTCAGTCGTGGTATTGAAGGTGGAAGAGAGCGCTGTACATACACTTCCCTCACCGGCAATTCCTGCCAGACCTAAGACTTCAACCTGCAATCTTCGGGTTACAAGTCCAACTCTCTAATCATTACACCCTTAGTGAGCACAGAGAGTTCACCAATTATTGTTTTTAAACTAATTTATGTGGAAAAATATCTAAGTCATGAAACTCTAGCTAACTGACATTGTTGGGGGTAACGCATTACAAGTAATGGAAGTTACGTAATCAGATTCCTTTTTTTAAGTAACTAGTAAAGTAACGCATCAGCAATCTTCAAAATATCTTCTTTTGTGTTCAACATAAGAAAGCAACTCATACAGGGTTGGAACGACATGAAGGTGAGTAAACGATGACAGAATTTTCACTTTTGGGTGAACTATCCCTTTAATAGATTACACTATTAGGCTACTTTGCCCATCGCCCTTTATGAATCAACAAACATAATCTATAAAGGTGCAAAATGCATTTTCTTATACATTTTTGAGAATCGAGATATTTAATGATATTGCTGACACGTTTGGGAATATTTCGAATAAAAAGGAAAAAATAAATAAAACAAGCCTGTATCAGTTATAGGCTACTTATAGAGACGGAGTACCATCGTCCCAGAGTCAATGGGTTTTTTGAATGGGAGGTTGGTTAAATCCCCTAAAATAAGGTCCGTGGTTCACACAAGCTCAAGATACTTTCACGTTTTATTCTACGACATAAAACACACAGTTACACCACAGTTGTGATTTTTAAAAACTGTTACGTTTCTTAAAAAAGACGGTTGCTAACAAGTTGCTAAATGGGACTACAGGTGCTGTCGGAGACATTACACCAAACATTTGATCAATTAACAGCATATTCCAATTGTAGTATAATTTATAGTGCAATTAATTGTTTACCTCATTTTATATTGTTGTTCGACAATGTTTTTTTTGCTTTGCCCCGAAATGCAACAAGTCTTCGAATGGAAGATGCACGTTTTATCGCTTTCCTACTGATACGGAGACTCTGGGTTCGGACTATAAGGGAAACTCATATGATTATACCATGTAAACACCACATTTACCGGCTTAGTCACGGTGAAAGTGAAACTTTAACGATGCATTGTGCTTAAAGTCACATTAAAATGAAATGTTTACGGTCACAAGCAGCTGTTAGAAAACATATAGATTGAGGATTTTCTAGAAGCAATGATGAATTCACATTTTGTGAACCCATCCAAACAAAACGATAGCTGAAATGTGGTACTTTATTCATTAAAATAAGTTTAATCTTACCATATCCAAAAACTCACTCACTCTGCTGTTATTTAATAGATTAAATGCATTATAATTTTATTGAATAGTACGTGGAGACACATTTTTAATTAAAATATTCATATTAATCAAAGATTTATTCACTTTTAATGCAACTTATTTCGAAATGTACAGAAATGCGTGCTTTCATATGTCCTTTAGTTATGATTATTTCATTTATTCACTATAATATTTATTACTAATGTCTCATTTCAGTTTTAGTTTGGCTCTAGTTTTGTATTTATTCCAGTTTATATGAAAAGGGTCATGTAGCGTGGATTAAAATTCATACACAGAGTAAATCCTTTTCACTGAATGTTAAAAAATAAGTTTGAAAAGTTGTGGGAAGCATGGTGGTGGTGACGTTGAAGGCGAGCGAACGTGGAGGTGTAGTTCGTTGATAGCCTAAGTTTAGCTTTTACGTTCTGGCGCTTTTATTTTGTCTTCAAAATTCATAAAAGTGCATAAAAGTTGCTAACAGCCGATCCGCCTACAAAATGACGTCATAGTTCCCCCACTCTATCCACCTTTTTCTTCCCGTAAAAATGGGCGCAGCCATTTGTAAATTCTATGGGTCTGGCT